CAGCCACCATCATCGTGATCCAGAGACCCACCAACATTCTTGGTGGAGGCGCCCTCATCATGAGAACTTACAGTACACTCCAAGCTTTGCCTCACTCTCTTCAGCCTTGCTCCCAAATCTTCACTTTTAACATCTCCTCCAAACTGCCATTGCCGACCAAGAGCAAGCCCATCCAACATCGATGTGAACACCACTGCGCTGAGCACTGCCTGGGTGTCCCATTCACACCCCTCGTCACACTGCTCCTGCGAATCTGGAGAGCTGGGTCTGCTTCTGCTGCGGCTCCGAGACATGGCAAGAAAGAGGTCAGACTGGCTGGCTGCTGACTCTGAGAGAAACAAGCAAGTGAGTGACAAATAGTGCAGAGATGAACTTAGCACCACTGCAGTTAGTTCTACTTGCTCTTCGAAGAGATGTCAGAGCAAATCTCGCCTCTAACAAATGAAGAAGTTCCCAACATGGTTGGACCTGGAAAGCAATTCAAAGCATTATATGCACACATGCCAGGGATCAATTCAAGCACTCATTGGCACATGTCATCTCAATCCCTGGAGGGATCTCTCAACTGATATATATACATGAACATGGTTCCAAAATTGACGTCAGACTGAAGAACTCAACAGCCAACAAGCAACGCCTCAAAAGGCTCGGAGATGACACGAAGTAGGTTCCCACTCCTTTGCAAAATTGATTGACACAACACCCCACAATGCTCATACTGCTGGAATTCCAACCAGAACGCGAAAAGAGTGTACCCCGTGCACACCTCTGCCAAAAGTTGTCAGCTAACCCCTGAAGGAGGACACCTCAGCAGGCTCACCAGTTTCACATGAGCCAAAACTCATTCACTGCTACGTTTTGTGAAAGGGAAGAAGGCATGTAGATGCAAATGCACGCAATGTGGATTCACAACAGTGCACTGCTTGATTTTGAATTTAAATTAACAACCTACCCTTTTCCTGGACCAATGTCTGTCCAGTCTCAAGCCTCTACTGCTAATACAGTCAACCCACAAGGCGCTTACCACCGTGCCGCAAGGTCAAAGATCCAGATGATAGGAAAGCGAAGCCCAGTCCTGGAAATTGCATTTTGAGCGAAGCCCATGTCTAAACAAAAGAAGCGCAAAAAGCCATGACAAGAGTCTCACAGTCCACTGTCAGCTAACCTCATTCTAAAGTGCACGATAAGACCTCAATCATATCTATACAGAAAAGACCAATGATTGGAAATGATTGGCCCCAACCCTGGAGCACGTTCAGTTCCAGGATGCCTTAAATCCTTCCTGTGCTCGGCGAAGCTTTCAAAACAGACTCACAAGCAGCGTGGCAGGATGAGGCCCCAGCAAACATCGGGCATGCAGAACCACTGGAATGACCTGCCAATGGTGCCACGTGCATGTAAGACTCAGAGTGTCTCACAAAGTTTCATACTGCTACATCAGCCACAAATTGCCCACCTTGGCAACAATCTTCATCTTGGACATTGCAGCCACACGGAACCTGTAGCATCTACACGAGCTGACAACAGCCCCTGAGAAGCTTTTAGACAGGCGCAAGTGAGCTCATCTAAGTCAGTGCATAATGCATAATGCACAAAGAACTACACAGTGTCTTATTGTTTTCGAGAGGTGCAATGCCAATGCTGATTCATGTGAGCAAGCCTCATGTCCACCTTTGGCATGAATGGAAAAGACCACCTGCAAACTCGCATTCAATCTCTCAACGGACCAGTGAATGAATGAAAGACATGAGAACTCAGAACCGAGTGTCGGTGGCTGCTGTCACACTCAACTCTTTCATGTCAATTATGAATGAAAGCTCCCCATGTTTGACTGATTTGGCCTGCTTGCTGCTTGTTGATGATTTGCCAGTGACAGTGAAGTTTAGTGTCAAGCCTGCCAGAGCAAAACATTGAGGACTGAGAGACAGTCAAGTAAATGTTATCTAGGTTTTTGCGTCTGCCAGTGGCCTAGAATGAAAGCGGAGCAACCAACATGCGACCTGGATGATGTGAACACAACCCGAGGATGGGGGTGCCCTGCTCACTGCAAAACTAAGTTGTCCACAATCCGAAGGGTTCCAGTTTTCACTACAACAATGTCAAAGAAATGCAAAAGGCTGCAGGAGAGTGAAAGAATCTTCAATGGTGCAGCATTCCAACAAACAAAAAGACTCAGAGCTCTGGCGGTCCTCTGGCGCGCTTGCTGCGAGTGGGCCTTTCAGCATTTTCCTTCCAGGCAGAACTCAAATTATGTTTGATTCAAAACATGGGTATGAAGGACTGCCTGTAACATCTCCAGCACAGTGCGGCGAGAAGAGGTAGAGAGTGCCCGACTGGAACCTCCACTCTCCTCCTGGTCCTCATCCAAGAAACCACACCATCCAGGGTCTTGGTCATAAGGGCGAAGGCCATCAGCAGAGTCCTGTCAGACAAAAACAACTTGAGCTGGTTGGTGGGGGTGGTCTATATCCAAAAGTTTCCAGTGCAGTAAACCAGTACAACACAATGGTTTGTTTGGCAACCCGGTCCGGCAATTGGAGGGTGCCCGGAGGTGGCAACGAATGGGCCATTTGTGTGGCAAAACGATTCAACTCATGCAAAGTTTCCTGGCCCATGTGACCAAACCGGTTGTAGGTCTCATGTGCAAACCTGATAGCATCACCAAATGCACGAGGATAGGCTGAGGAGTTGCCCATAGCACTTCGAACCCCATTTGTCCACCTTGCGAAAGCAATTTGTAGCTTTGAAACAACCCACATGGAATGGATCATACATACTTGTATTCTGAAAATCGATGATAAATGTGTGTACATAGATAGGTAGTCTTGTACACACATGCATATAAACAAATAATGGATGTCCATAAAGTTGAATCAATCATATACAGTAGATATATTTTTAGATATATAGACATTCATACATACATACAGACAGACAGAGTGACAGACAGACAGACATTTAAACAGACAAAAAGGCAACTATATGTCATAATTGCAAATATATGTGTGTGTGCATGTTGGTCTTTACACATGTGTATATTAGTTGTAAATACACAAACACACATTCTAAATGTTTATATGAATGTTTGTATCTTGGACTTGTGTACGATGATACACATTCAGATGCATAATATTATGTAGACGTGTATGTATATATATATAGATGTTATGTTTGATTTGTTGTAATGCACACGTAAATGCACACATAAGTGCGAATGTATAATGTAGATGTAAGTATAGTAAAGTAATGCAATGTATGTCAAAGAAAATATTAATGTAGTGTGAATGAACAGGAAGTCAGTAAGTGTGTAGGTAAGTAAGTAAGTAAGTAAGTAAGTAAGTAAGTAAGTAAGTAAGT